CCCCTTTGTCAAAGTCTTTGTGTAATGCTGCTATGTCTTGTGTCGAGTTTATTACCCTGCAAATGTTGGTATCAGCAAACACTGACCCCCTGCTGTCACTTTTCAAAGTTTACAAGTGTCCAAAAGGTGGCAGCCTAGCATGCCACATACAAAGATCCGACAGGCAGCATGGGGTCCACATGCTGTGTGTTGAGCACCAATGCCCTAAAGTTTCGAGCTTTAGAATTGTTTTGGGATACTTAGAACAAATTGGCTTTTATAAAGGGGTACGTACTTTGATAAAGGGAATCTTACAATGAAACATGAAAATGCCCATGAGGACAATGAAAATGCCCATCTGACTTGTATGACCTCCTACCTTCATAGTGGTTGCGGTCTGTTATGGCATTTTATGTCAAAATCAGGCCCTGATTGCTGCACGGAAAACACAGCCTGTCCGCCACTTGTAGGTTTCTGATTTGATCAGTTCTTAAAAACTACACACCTAATTGTCAGTCATTTTTTACTAGCATTGTAATGACCATATGTAGACAAATTGTAACATTTTTTCTTTTCATCAAGTGAATGATTTACTAAAGGGCTTATATTTATATCAGACAAGCAAACCTGTTTTTATGTCAATAACCCATCAAAACTAAAGGGAGCCTAAAGAAAAAAACAAATATAGACATTCACATCTACCCAATTGGATGTTTGACAGAAGCAAAGGTTCAATATAATACAAATTGTATCCATGACTCATTTTTTTGTTATTAGTGCTATATTTGTATTTGTTAAAACATGGGGCATCAGTAAATCTGGAAAAGTTTAATGTTATGTCATTTAGAGCCAAGAGAGTTTGTGAATGACCTCTGCTAATGTTTGTTTTACCATTCTTGTGTGTTAAGATGACATAAAGCTGCAGTGCTATGCCATATATAACTAACTTGTTTTCCCTTGCAGCATGCTTTGTGCATTTCAGTAACAAAGTTATGTTGTGCTTGTTTGTGCTTTTTTTCTCAATTAAATCCTGTCCAAGATTTGTTTTCTTGTTGCAGACTTTCTATGAAATTTGAATGTCTTTAAGGCTGCCGGAATGTAGCATGTTGATTAAAACCCAAGTCCAGCCTTTCCAAAAGGAAATAAAAAAAAATAATAAAGATCTTCAATTCCTTTTTTGGACATTTGTTTTGCAGCTTTCTACTACGTCTTAAGGCAGAGACTAGCCAGCGTAAGGTGCCGTACACAAGGTTAGCTAAACATATTTCTTACAAATCATTTTGGCAGAGTAAAAATGTGTCTGGGGAGAACAGTCTTCAGTCACAAATGTTAAAAAATAAAACATATTTAAAAAACAATAAATCAAAAAGAAGTTCTAATTACCATTAATTTTTATTATAGGAGCCACATTTTCTAACATGGTTTATGTTTCCTATTAAAGGGCCCATTCACACCTTTCAGTTCTGATGTGTTGTAGTAAAGCACCATACATGCACTGTGGTGACATTTATTTTCAGTAGCACCCCAGCGCACTAAGGCAGCACACCTCCAACGCACATGCATTGCAGCACACCACAATAATGCACTGCCGTGCGTTGTGGTGCACGGTGTTAGAAAGCATGGTGAATGTGTGATTTTTGGACCATTTTGGTGCTTGTTAGCCCATTCAAATGAAGCACACATACCTTAATACACTACAAGGGACCGGACAAATATAAATGAGCTAAGTCACTGCACTTTCCCTCTGCTAGCATATAATAAAGAAATAAACAAATACAAAATGTTAAAATGTCAAGCATGCAAATATCTGTAAATATATGTATAACTGTGAACAATAAGGGATCCTGATTGGGTATTCATGTCTGAAAAGCAGTTTAAATCCACCAAAGGCAGCTACCATTTTGTGATTCCCAGGAGTTGGAGAGTGGGTACTGTCAGTGTAGGTTTAGTCAGCTTCTCACACAGGTATCTGCAGTCACGACAGATTCCTTCTAATATCATATTTGTGTTAGCCTGCTTATTTTTAGGCATATTGACCCTTATTTGCTCTGCTTTCGTGTTCCTAATAAAGGGCACCTGTCATAAGAGAAAGGTGCCGGCGTCCACTGCTGAACTCCATTCGATTGAAATGATGGTTGCTGTTTGGCAATAATCCTTTGTGGGTTTTTGACTTGAGACAAGAAATTCAGCATTGAGGTCTGAACTCCAGGTCTGTGCCTTACAAAGTATTGAAGCCACTGGATTAACATGACAGTCACCATTTTCAGAAGCAATTCAGCAGTACAAATGTATAATGTTTTTGTTTTTTTATTTATATCATTATATAATGATGGCTTGTTATTTTATATATAGATCATCAGCACTTTTAAATATTAATCAAGAGCACTGAAAATATATAGCCCATACTATTTCAGGCTTATACAATAATATTGCTTTTAATACTTTGCTTGAAAAATGTGTTACTGCATGTTCACTGTGATTTGTATGACTTACGTCTTGCCCCATTCCCATTTTAAAGTAAATTAGCATGATTCTCCTGTGCACGCATGCAGGTGTTGTTTCAATTTCCTGTGCCTTACAGCATGTATATTTTACTGTGCCCCGAGGATATTGTAATTTTACCTATGCTACAAAATAGCTCACATTCCACAGTGTGTCAGCTGGGTTCTCACGTCATACTTCATGTGAGAGTTCCATTCTAAAGGTCACCTGGGCAGGTTTAAGTGAAAACTTTACTCTTTAACAACTGCTTTTACTAGAAGGTCTCCTTCTCATACACATAGGTCATGTAAAGTGTAGTCTACACTGGGGGTGCTAAGGTTGATGCAATGAAAGACCAAGCTTATTAGAAAGGGAAGGGGTATGTTGGCCATATAAATCAGTCAAATTGTGGTTTTCATAAGGTACCAGTAACACCTAAGTGTGAGCAAAGCTAAGTGATTTAGAGGCTTTTTTTATGCAATTGTTCATGCGTTTTCACACGTTTTTACATGTACCTTGTAGTACAGGAGTAGAATTGTGCATTTTTGGCCCCATACATTTTTAAATGGGAACACATTTTTCAGATGCCCCTGTACCTGTCTTGGGGGCAAAAAGCTCATGATTCTGCCCCAAAAGAAGCGCATGTATTTTTTTCGAGCTTCACAAGACAGGTGACAAGCAATGCTTAGGTGTGCACGGGTCCATTGAGAATAATGTGATTCTTCATCTTGAGTGTTGTCGCGCTGCGGGAAGTGTAAATGAGACCTAAGAAAAAAAAAAGGTTTTGAAATACTATTTATTGCCTTTGAGTATCAACAGACTATTGAAAAAGTTGAGGAAGGAAAGTTGAGTTTTATTTATAGCAGCCGATCATTTTCTTATATTGTAGACCTGTTCTAGAAATATGAAAGGTGAAACCAATTTTCCTTTTGTTCCCTTTTACAGCACACCATAATTATGTTAACTTGCTAATTTAATTGCAGAGCAACACTTTCCACAAAAACAGATTTACAAATAAACAGCTGTGATATATAGCTAGTGCACAAAAAATGTGTCTATTGTTTCGTATGTAATTTATATTTTCAGCATTATTAGGCCTAGTTATTCATTTTACTATACATAGTCATGTGTGTAATACAGTGTAAAATGCATCAATAATCATCCAAAACTGATAGTTTTAGTCATGAGTGAAGTCTGGTGGTTTAAATTAACCACTGGCCTATTCTTTCTATAGGAGCATGGTGATTGTTGCTCTTGCGGCTGCATTCTTCAAAATGTGAAATAAATAGGAATATCAATTAGGGAATATAAGACCTTGATGGCATAGGTGGGGAAGGGCTTTGAACTCAACTGCAGATATCTTGCCAGCAGAGACACAAAGAACTAAACAAATTAATTGGGCAACTCAACCAACCAACCAACCAGCATCTTTCCAAAACATTATCAGTTGTGGGTGGACTACACCCTTAAAACTACTGAGTAATTATGCCACACCTGTAAAAAATATTTGTATTTGTTGATGTTACACCCATAAAATATAAATATCTAGAAAACAGTAAGGTCTTATACACAAGTGTGCCAGATAAGGGAGCCAAGTGCAGCTTACTCACTCGGTGAAGGCCCCTGGGGGCCAGATCTAAAAGTGCTTCTTCAGCTAAATGTTCAATGCAGATGTGAATTTAGGGAAATATTTGAATCACTTTGCTCTCCAACCATAGCAGCTTTTGCTATAAGCCCATTCATTTCCCTTCATTTCTGGTAGGTCCCAGAGAGAATTTGACAACTATAGTGAGGACCTTTTTAGAGAGAGTTCTCTTAGAAAATTAAATAAATGCAGATGATTACAACAAAATATACGGAGATAGCTGACACTGTTAAACTAAAATATATGAATTATAAATAACGTTGGGCATACAGAGTACAGGTTACAGCAGCTGTAGATTTGATTATGCAAAGACTGCACAGGTTGAATTATATCTAAACCCCAAAACAAAAATGTAATATATGCAGATGCACAAAAGAAGAGTCTGCCAGTGCAAAGGGACTTTTGCAGCAGCCAGCAGGAGCAAGTGCAGGTGAGTATAAGACTTTAGGTGGGTGCTGGGCAGGGGGTCAATGAAAGAATAATTTCTCTAAAAGTACAGTTGTCTATTATTCATTGCTTGCACTTGTATGTGGACTTTGTTTGATATATTTTTGTGTTGCCCTGAATGCTAGCTATGACCTGTAATATGTGTATTGTATACATGCAGTCTAGCATTGCGAGCGCGGTGGTGCGGGAGGAGAGCTCAGCTCTTGTGACAGGCGTAGCAGTCAGGATGGAGAGCAGGGCACAAACACTCAGTGATCAGTACTGATCGCTGAGTGTTTGTAAATAACTGAGGAGATAGTAAGCTTACTACGTCCCCAGTTATTAATGAACAGGAAGTGCTCTACATCACTTCCTGTTCATTCATGATTGTGGACATAGTAACTGATATTATCTCTTCAGTTTATGAATGGACAGGAGCACTCAGTACAGAGGCTTCCTGTTCATTCATAACAAGGGCTGCAGAATAAAATATTTAGGGCTTGGTTTAGACCCCTAAAATTTCCCAAAAGCCCCTAACAGTAAAGTAAAAAATAAAATCACATAATTAAAAAATCATTTAAAAATGTAAAAAGGTTGGGGGAAAAAAAGTCATTTTTGGTTTCGGCTGCCTGACAATTTTTAAAATGTTGGTTTTAGTCTAAAAATGTAATTTCAGTGCATCCCTAATTTCTGTACTTTTTGTTGTCTGTTTGCTTTTTCTAAAACAATAAACATTAAATATACATAAAATAGATTGTAGATAAAAGTAAAGTTATCTGTTAAGGGCTGGGTTTACATTAATAGTTAGGGGTTACATTCAGCATAATAGTAAGTTAAGTTGAATTTTTGGGTGTAATTTATATTTTTGCATGATCATTTAATTCTTTTTGAGGTTATCACTTTTTGTCAGATCGTACATTTCTTAGCAATTGGTTTTCTCAAACAAACCTGGAAAGCAGATACTATTTACAGATTTGAGTAGAATGTTTACTACAAAGTGCTGCTATTTTTACCCTTAGTGGATGAACATGGAAAGATGTAACATATTTGGACACCTAAAGCACATTTGTGTTAATTCATGTCCATCAACCACTTTTATGATATTCATAATCCACCTTATCAGATCACATTTACATCAGTAAGAAAACATCTGTTTCTACAAAAATAGTATTCCACTTTCTCCTCTATTCTTTATAGTAACGCCAACACAAAGGGTCTGTAAACAGCTGACTGTAATTTTTGTGATGTATTGCAAGTGGCCATTAACTGATATGGTGCTTTCAGTCTTAAATTTCCTAAAAACACATCTTGTATTTCAATAATTGTATCATACTTGTCCCTTTTACAAAAGTAGTGTTTGCTTTCTATAATTGTCTTTAATTATATAGAGTAAACATGAAAGGGTTGCTTTCTTTGGACATTATATCTGCTGTAACAAGGACAAATAAAGTATGTATAATCTGCGCTTGTGGATATATATATGTAACAAGGACACTCCACTGTAGTCCAGGTAAGTCAAGTAAAACGCAGTTTATTAAAAGGGCAAACACAAAGGGGTCTATTCACGAAGCAGCCGAAAGATCTAGCCGTAGCTTTGGCCGATCATTCCGCTAGCTGCGGCCACATGACCCCTTCGCTATTCCCTCTAGCCCGTACAGCTCCCGAACTTGGCCAAGCGGCTCAGTCGAGCCAAAGGCATATGCCTCGGCTCGGCTGAGCAGCGCTGAAAGCCGAAGCTGGCCTACTTCTGACAGCTGGGCGGATCCAGCCGTGTTATTACGTCTGGCTCCGGCCACTTGCAGAGAGATCAGCGTCCCTGGTTACCAGCTAACCAGGGACACTGATCTCCAGACAGTCTCCGGGAGTCTCCCGCTCCCGGCCGCCAAGGAGAGAAACACTGATTTTTCCAGTTTGTTGTTATTCTGACACGGAGCCGTGTCAGAATAGAAAAAAATTATAATTTTGGCCATAGGAATGCATTGCTAGATTTCAATTTGCAATAGCCAATAGCAAACTAGCATTGCACCCGCCCTCTGCTGCAGTTCTCTATCAGGTGCCCACTACTGATTGACAGCAGCAGGGTACAATAGCTAGTTTGCTATTGGCTATTGCAAATTGAAATCTAGCAATGCATTCCTATGGCCAAAATTATAATTTTTTTCTATTCTGACACAGCTCCGTGTCAGAATAAAAAAAAAAGAAAAATCAGTGTTTCTCTCCTTGGCGGCCGGGAGACTCCCGGAGCGCCTGGGAGAGTTAGGCTTTTTTTTTTTGACGGCAGCAAAACCGCTGGCCAATAGAAAACTGTTGGGCGGAGCCAGCTGTCATTGCTAGCTCCGCACAATCGTTTTCTATTTTTATTTTTCTACATTTTTATCTATTTTTCTGTTCTGCTCGGTCCCACAGAGACCGAGCAGAACAGCCGAGCTGAATGCCGCTCTGCGGCATTCGGCTATTCACTCACTGCTGTTCGGCATCTATAAGAATAGACCGAACAGCAGCGAGTAGCCTGGCGGAGGTTCGGCTTAGCCAATCCAGATGTTGGAGTCAAACTCCTTCTGAGCATGTTCGGCCTACCCAAAGACACGCCTAAGGCAGCTTAGTGAATAGACCCCAGAGTCTCTGGGCATCCACGAGGTAGCCATCCCCTGTTCACATAAAGGCCAACATTTCATGCACTTTTCATGATAATCGGACTTCTTTAGCAAATACCGTCCTTTGTAGCTTTCCTCAGCTCTAAAGCTCTCGCTCTTCACCCCTCGTGAGCCCTCAATCTGCTTTCTCAGCAGTGTGTACCACAGGTCCTAGGGTCACCGACCTTCCTGACCTCTCCCAGCCTCCCCCGGCTGTTCCTTGTGCGTCCAGCACGCACCCGAGTCTGCGTGTGTCCGTGTGCCTCCTGCACACACACAACTCCCACTCTCCTCCAACAATCCTCTGAGCACTGGGCTGGCTTCCTAATGAGGCTGCTCTCAGCCACCTGATCAGCCCAGGCTGGTCATTGGCAACACCTGGCCCCAGGACTGGAGATCTCATCCCACCCAGAGCTCTAAAGGTGCCCATACACCTTACGACCATCGCAAGACTTTTGTCTTGCAATGGTCGTAAGCTTATTAAAAGCTTGTACGATCTGCCAATCTTGGACAGGCAGATCGTACTTGCGATCATCGAAAGTCCACCCCGCTGAGGGGCAGGCTTCCAATGACCGCAATGAGTGCGCACACCGGCCCGTTCCGCAGTTGTCGAACGAGCAGGCTAGAAACCCGCCGAGAATCGCACGATTCTGGCGGGTTTTCTAGCATGCTGGTTCAACAAAAGACGTGCGACCGTACAGTAAAAATGGTTGCACGCCTTCCATAAACCTTGCGATTATCATACGATAATCGCAAGGTGTATGGGCACCTTAAGAGATCTCCAGAACTCCAGATCCCAGCTACAATTAGGAAAACCTGGAAGGACCTGAAAAGCCAGGCTCTTCCTTATAATATTGTTTACATTCTGGACCCTCTCAGCCCCTGCCACACTGCAATTGGAAGGCACAATCTGTAAAAATTAGGGGAACACTTTGCTGAAGTTGCCTTATGCCAATCTGTTATTTTGCTTTACAGCTAACACAAATGCAGAATGTGCCAACTGTTACAAAACTGATCAATGGGAAATGCAGTACATCCTTGCATTAAAATGATTCCAGAATGGTAACACTCTTAGGGGGACTGTGGCTGCACCTTCAACCACTGGTGCAAGGCTTGAAATCGGTCCGTTCACTCCCTGAAATACTGCATGTGTTAAAAGAAAGGTTTACACTGCAACACTGCTGAATCTACTGTTTAAAAAAAAAACAGTTTTAAAGACCTTTTAGTGTTTGCTCAGCATTAAGATGGTCATACACCTTGCAATTATCGTTCAATTTTTTTCGTGCCGCCATTGAGCCATCGTTCGATTTCCGCACAACTGCCCTATCATGCACAGACCAATGTGGATTTCAATTATCGTTCTTCAGCAATACTAACTGACCGAATTTCGTTGACTGACAGAACGGATCTTCGTTTACGCATGTACAGTGTACATGATTGTTTTCATACAAAAACGCAACTAATCCATTGATTTTCATATGATTAAAAAAAAAGTTTTCAAGCCTGAATGGGTGGGAAGTTTGGCCAATTGTACAGTTATTCTGATCGTTCACTTCCCATCAACTGGCCAATTATCTTAAGAAAAACCGATCGCGTTCATAGACCATACACAGACCATAAAAGAAGGATACAGAGAAGGTCGTTGGGGGAGCCCTCCGCACACCTCACAGCAGTCCCGGCCAGGCAAGAAAAGATGGTGCTCGCAGTGATATTGGTTCATGGATGGCGCCGTGCAGACACAGAAAAAGCAGGGAATCACCAGCACTCAGGGTCCCTTCCTCATATTTTCTGGGTCATGTTTTCTGCCTTGAGGAAGGGACCCTGCGTGGCCCCGAAACGTCGGTTCTTTTGATTTCTATGACGCCTCTGTCCAATAAAAGGACAAATTTGCTTTCATTACTGAGTGCTGGTGATTCCCTGCTTGTTCTGGATACAGAGAAGGTTCTTCAATGCCTACTAGGAAATATATTGCAAAAACATATTATAAAATCGAATGAGCATTATTTAACCACCTGCTGTCCGGCCGTTGTAATTACAACGGCCAAACAGCGGCTTCTTCAATGTGGGTAGGCGGGGCGCACGAGCGGGAAATTAGCCTGAAATGTTACCAGCCAGCAATGACTGTTTACATACAAGCGTTCGGGCGTCTGTAGAGACGCCCGATCACTTGTAATATGTGTGCGGGTGTGCGCCCCCATCCGTTGCAGCCGCTGCTGGCGATCCCGAGCTCCGCTGTGCCTGGTGTGAGCCAAGGACCAGCTCAGCAGCTCTGCATCCGGAGTGCGTGCGCACACCGGCCCGTTCGTCAGTTGTCGAACAAGCAGGCCACTCACTCGCCGAGAATCGTACGATTCCCGGCGGGTTTTCCAGCCTGCTTGTTCGATGGAAGACGTGCGACCATACAGTAGAAACGGTCGCACGCCTTCCATACACTGTACGATTCTCGTACGAATATGTTTCCTGCCGCGCCTTTACCGCTATTCGCGGTAAAAAAAACGCACGCCAAATGCGCGTTTCCGGCTGTATCCTAATGGATACGCGCTGCAAATACTCCCCAACGCGCGTTTCCGGCTGTATCCTAATGGATGCGCGCTGCAAATACGCCCCAAAGAAGTTCCTGTACTTCTTTGGGCATAGGGCGTTTTGCAGCACGTTCCTACGCGATGTAAAACGCCCAGGTAAGAACCATGGCCATGGGCAATCATTGGTTTTCACATGTTCAGCGTTTTATAGCGCGTAGGAACGCGCTGTAAAACGCACAGGTGTGAGCCAGGCCTTAGACTTTAAATATTTGTCCAATCTGACTGAAAAATGGCTGTTTAATCAATTGTCATGTCTTTAGATACTTTTACAGTATATTGTAACTAATCTGTATCACAATGTTACTTTTAAGTGCTAAACCCATGTCAGAAATTTCCTTGAACATATAGCAAGCCATTACTATAAGACATGCGAAGGTATAATTTTATATCACAAGCACTCTGTGAGGACACATGTTTTAAGCAGCATAGCAATGCAATTTGTAGAATAAAAGGCTCCAGTGGTATTCATAGTGCCATATTTACAGTTTACCCTTAAATAAACCTAATGTCTTCATAACTGCCATGAAAGCTATATTTCTTCCAGTAGGGGACAGTAACAAAATGTTTTTTTCCATTATGCCCCCCTTATGCTTTGTAGTACAGATTTGTGTGTACTTGTGAAATACTTAATATGCTTATAGTTTATTATAATATTTTGATATTGTATAGCATGCTAAAGTAAAATGTATATGCACATATTTTATTTATACTACTAAACTCGAGCTTGAATTATTTAAAATATTAATTAAACCTAAAATACAAATCATCCAAAAGAAAACTAAAATCATAGAATTAGCCTTTTACCACATATACAGTTTTTTTCCTACATGCTACAAAATATACATATGTTCTTTATCACATGTACTGTGGTGCACTGAGGGTCAGGAGTATTTGTATACATGTTGTGCCACTGGAAATGACTGGCAACATACTGTACATGTTCTGCACGTTGTACCATTAACGTACATGCAATAGTGTAAACACCGCCTTAACTATCACTCCAGTTTTAGCAGTTCTCATTTTATTTGTGTCCCATGTTCTAGGCACTTTGGAGAGTAATGTGTGTTTAATTTTTGTGAATCTTACTAAATAAATAATAATATCTACAAATAACAAATAATATTCCAGAAAATAAAATAACATTTGTGTTAGTATATCCTCAACAGTTTACATGTGGTTCTACATCAATGGGCTTTGGTTATTGCTAAAAAGCTGTCTGCTTATCAGCTCCAAAAAAACAGAATGCAATGGTAGGCAAGCACAAGTCTGAATTTTCTTTCAAGTATTATAATTTTCACTTAATTTGTATATATCTTTTTTCTGTAGCCGTTTGTCAGCCACCCTGTAAACATGGAGACTGTGTAGGTCCCAATAAATGCAAATGTCACGCTGGTTACACCGGAAAGACCTGCAATCAAGGTACTGTATGCATGTTAATATATGCTTTGAATTGATAATTTCTTAAGATATGAATGTGCTTTTTTTCCTTTTCATGTGTTCTTAAAGCAAAATTGTGCCAAACATTTGGATATCATATCATACAATGACCAACAATGTAAAGTGTTAAAGTGTGCCCCACCATACTTTAGTCATGTATTTAAATTTCAAATGCAGTTATGTATGTGCCACGCTATCCTAAGTAGTGACACAAGTATAATACTGAATGTGAATAAAACTAAACACAAATAATGCATAAATACAACCAACAAGACTGTATATCAAACAACATGTGCATAAAAAAGGGGATTCCATCCACAACCCTGTGTATAAAAGTTCCTATATATCCTAATACAAAAATCAGTCCAAATAGAAGTAGCCACAAACAATCCCGAGTCGCTCCACCACCAGATGATGACCACTGCGTGAACATACAGTAGAGTGCTGCTCACCTTGGTCTCAGACCTGGACAATAGGTCTGAACCACACTGTTTCCCCCCTTAATGAAGTCCACTGGTTAAAATTCTCCTATTCAACCACACACGTGTTCCTAGGAAACCAGATGCTGTATTAACTCAGCCAAAAATAAGAAGTACAGGCCATACTGTACAATCAATACAATGAGAGCTAATTTAAAATTCTACTCACATAAATCATAAATGTCCAACTGCACCACAGAAAACTGTCATGATATCGGATGGGAAGTTACCCATCCTTTATTCATGTATTTAAAATTATCTACAACCTATTAATCATGTTAGAGTACTGTGAGCTGTATATATAATATTTTTGTGGGGGTTTCTCAGTGACCTGAAAACTACGTGAAGGGTTCTTCTGTAGTAAAAAGGTTGAGAAAGCTGGCTATAAGGGCTTCAAGTGACATGTACTATTTGGTGGATAGCCATGTAGTATAAAAGATGTGTTTGAGTATTTGTGATGGAACAATTAGAAACCCTGACATATACCTGCTACCATTAATTCCGGATAAAACCAGCTGAAGCTGATGTTGTAGAAATGTTCCTTTATCTCGAATTCTAAGCAGTTAACATGCTTCATCAATAAGTAAAGCCAAAAACATTGATCTGCTTTTTTAGATCACTGTTGGCTTGTGATCACACAGATAAACTAGTCATTTCTAGGTCATTGCTTAGCCCAATTTTAAGTCTAAATTTAATCAGAATAAATGTAAATTGAGCTTAAATGATCAAAGATCATAGTCGAATGAAACTAGCCAAAATCATTCAATCAGATTATGAAACTAATATCTACATACACAGGAAGTAACTTTTAAGACAGACATATTTTTAAGTTAAAAACAATATACACACACTGGCCACATAACACTTATCTAGATCTGGGTAGGACCCCCTTCTGGTGAGTTAGCCTGTTGCAGATTACCACTGAAAACCAGGTATACAGTGGTCATAAAGGGGGGTAAATATTTATACTTGCTGAGACATGCACATGATGCTCAGTTGGTATGAAGGAACCTAATTTGTTCCAAGAAAACATCCCCCTCACCATTTCACCACCGAAATGTATTTATGCCTTCTGGTTTGAGTGGCAGCAATAAGATTCAGTGTTTGGGTGTTTAAATAAACAATCCTGATTAAGTGGCCGGTGAGTATATGTCTGCAGCTAAGTCAATCATATATGTGTTGTTGGAAATGTACAGCAGAGATTATTTTTCAGCTAAACAGGTTTACAGTTAATAAATGCTTTGCATTAGCATCTAAAGTGGAACTCTAGTCAGGCAGCTAAATTCACTACTTATAATCCATATATGTGAACTGTTTGCTTTGACAAAAGGTTTGTAAATCTTTTTAGCTACTCTTTTGATTCATATACAACTGCTGCACTGCATAACCAGGAAGCCTCCATTATTTATTCATTCAGCTTTTCGTCTTCCATTTCTGTGATAATACTGATTTCCAGGGAGCAGACCAGAGTCAACATGGGAAGCTGCAAAGCTAAACCAAGGAATATGGCTGTCAAATGTCTGGGTGTGTGAATCACTAGACTGACTTAACTAAATTACAAAAAGTTTAACAAATTAAATGGTTACCATTAATTTGTACAGGGATTGAGCATACTAGATGCAGCACGACTAAGGCACAGTGTGGGGGCTCAAACATGTAAACATTTGTTTGTTTGCTGATGTTTTGCCTTTTAACAAATAAAGTACTGGATGAACGGATCCCCTTGCGAGTGCCGTTTTTTTTAACCTATTACTAGATGGAGCACTTGGCTAATATCAGCATTTATATACTATGATTCTAGGATGGAGGAACTCGAGAGAAAGCTATGCTCTTCTTTCTATATTAGCCATGTCTTTTACATTTATCCATCCAGTTCGTAATATGTTTCCTGTATTTTGCAAGTGTTTTCAATGATCCTTTGTTGATAAGTTGATAAATTGAAAGCTATGTTCTTGGCGAGATAGGAAGTAAACTCTCAGATATCAGAGCACAGATGTTGTGTTTGGTACTTTTTCTATGTTTTGGTACTTTTTCTTTCTAAAGCAATATTTCAATGCATGATTTATAGTTTATGTGCTGTTATTTTGATCCAAAGTACCAATTACTTATTCAAGGGCTGCTGTAGTGTAAGGCTGCTGCCCTTACTTGACTTGTAATAATGGTATTGTACACATTCCCAAGTTCCACCTCTGCAGAAGATTGTTTTTATTCCATAATCCCCTAAACAGCTACTTAAATACAACCTAACTTGGTTTATGCCCACCCAGGGCAGTTTGTCAGGAAAAAAACAACATCCACATTTTAGTCCTATACTCCACAGTCCTTTTGATGTGAAACAGCTACTATGATGTCTTACCCTTATGGAGTATCATGGATGGACAAGACACCAGTCACGTTATATTAAGCAGCTGTTTAACATGACCAAGGTGTATAATTTATCCTTTGCTTAAAATGAGGTATGGTGATATATTTTTCTGTACCACTTTCATAAATATTATTACTAAGAGTGATGTTGTCCTTAAAGTGTATGTAAGGCAAACATGTTTATTATTTTTGTTTTTAGATAGCATAGGGAAAGGTTAAAACCCATTATTTTATTTTACATTGTTTTTGCTGTCTGTTTACCCATGGGGAGATTTTCTTCATTTTTTTATCCTGAAGATGCAACAGGAAATGAGAGGAAATATCTCAAAAGTGAGCAGAGTTCCCTATTGGGGGATTCTCACCCACCTCTTGCTCTAGTGACAACTCTAAAATTGTTGGATCTACCCTTGCTTTGTGTCTCAATGATTATGATCACTAGGTCAACAAGAGGTGTGAATCTCCCCCTCAGGGAAAAAGACAGCAATCAAAATCTAGAAATATATACAGTTTTATCTAGGACTATACTGTACCTTTACGCCTCCTTTAAGTCAATGATGTACTGGCTATTTCTTGTAAATGAGCAATAAATCATTGAAAGAGGGTCTAATACTTACCCACTGTATTCAAACTATGTATTGCCTTGTCTTTTGACATTTGAAGTAATTTCACAATGCTTAATCACAGAATGGTAAGATTCCCTGGTTCCTCTAATTGGTAGTAGTTTTGAACTCTCTGCACAGAATCATATGTGTAATAATAAATGTGTTTCTTTAAAATTAGTAGTAATTCATTTTGCTCTTTAAGTGGTGAGTACAAAGAGCTAATGCGTTTCTTTAGCCCCCAATACTGTGCAATATTTTTTTTACTGGAACAGCATTCAGAGATTGGAATTTTATGTTAAATGAAAAAAAAATAAGTGAACTTGTCACGTCCACTAAAGTACAAAAACGAAAATGACTCATACATACACAGGGAAAGCATCTGCAAACCAATAAATATAACTTATGATGGCTTAGAGATAACTGGTACATGTACTTGCTTTCAAATTAATTCCTTTGTGCCTTTGGAGGACCCTGGATCCTTGGATTTGACTCTTCTTTTACACTCACCCATGCTGTTGTCATGCCACATTACTGATTTCCTGTATTAAATACCAGAGTCTTTTTAGGCTTTGTTTTATATTTGACAGTTTAACTTTTTTGAGAGGACAGTCCTTACTCTTGAATTGGAGAAAAATGCAGGTATTGGCAGGCACCACCACTTTAGGAGTACGATCCACACTGAAAAATGTCACTATAGGGATCAAGAGTAACGGCCAATTTAACTGGATACCTTCATTAAATTATATTCTACATTGGTGGTTTCAACCACTAAATACAGTGTAGGATGGCCTAATACTTTCATAGATGGCAAGATAAAAATGGATTTGAATAGGTTAGGGGTTAGGATAGGGTTATTATGGGCACAATTAAAAATTATAAATATGATGCAGTTTATTAATAGCATTACCATCAGTTTTAGTTTTCATGAGTCACCCCGTAACATAGTTTTATTGCCTGTTACTCCAGCCATTAAGTATTTTATTCTTCAACTTCCCATAGCACACTAAGCTGTCTTGCATAATTGGCAGTTAGGGAGTTAAGACAAACCACTTAAAGTGACATTAAACCCTCAGATTTTTTAAACATAAAACAATACTGTAATGTGTGCCTTACTGTAATCCATGGCAGTTTCCCTTCTCTTTGCTGCTCTTCCTTTTAAATCCTCATGTCTTCTCATGCTTGGGGAGAACTTCCCTTTGCAGCTGAGTGCCTCTTCCTGTAGTGCTGGCTCAGGTTGCAAACCTACACACAGACACCATGTATCCATTCCTGAGACAAGGCAGTCTGCTGCAAAACAGAAGTTCTGCCCAGCATGAGAACAGATACAGATTTAAAATGAAGAGCAGCAAAGAGAAGGGAAACAACCATGGATTACAGTACGGAGCACATTACAGTATTGTTTTATGTTAAAAAATCTGAGGGTTTAATGTCACTTTAACATTGACAGGGGTGATTACAATGGGCCAAATGTATTCATACAGTTAAGAACATTATCCAAAAACCTAAAACTGTCACTGTAAAATGTGTAAGCTGGAGTTAGGCTTTAATTTTAGTGTGTAAAGTCTAAATAAATGTATTAGCACATCAAACACTACCCTTTCCATCGGTTGACAATGCTGCTGTTCAAGGGTGGCTATGGTGCTCCTCTATAGATACAGTGAAGGAAAGAGCATAGCCACCTTAGGACAGAAGGTGTATTACTGGCTGTATCACCAGGTGAAAAAAAAAGCCTCAAAAAAGCAAACTAATGCAGCCAACACATCTGGGGACTGGTATGCTGCAATATATTACATTTCGTGAGGTTTAGATATACTTTAGTGTTAGGATCAGGTTCCCTCACTTCTTGTTGTGGACAGGAAGTGAAGGGAAATCTACACAGCCAACACAGGCAAGAAAAAATTAGCTGGCAATGATTTTAACTTTACCCTACTCTATCCAAAACTTAAATGTTTTGACTTTACATACACTCTATGTATTAGACCCAATGCCCCCTGACCCCTAAGCCTAAAGTGTATCTAAAGAGAAAATAATTTTACTTTTGGATAGAGTTGTGAATAGTTAGAACACCTGCCAGCTCTTTATTGCTGTCTGTGTCCAACGTGGAGGAGAGTCGGCCTCTGTATTTGCCTTGCTGATAATGGTCACAAAAAGTGATAGGAAATCCCAAATTGTACATATGTCACCAGAGAGACAATAGAGAAACCTGTTCAAGTGACAGCTGTCTAAGAGGAAATTGTCCCTCACTTTGGAGAGATTTCTTCTTACTTCCTGTTGTGTCTTGGGAAAAAAAGTAACACAGACAGCCAAAAAAACAAAGAAAAAACAAAAGACTGCCGGGCATTTTAACTAGGGATGCACCGAAATTTCGGCAACTGAAACATATTAACCCAAAATGGTACTTTTGTCAAAATGCCGAAAGTGCCATCTTTTGGCCGAAATTGCATGTCACAAGAGGCCGGGCTCTCCTTCCGCACCGCCCCGCTTGGCTGTGACAGATCAGGAGAGCGGTGTGGGGGGGCGTAGATAGCTGTCACATGAGACCAGGCCGGTGGTGTGGGTAGGAGTCAGCTGTCAAAATAGACCAAGCTCTCTTCCCATACCTCTGACTCAGCATCCTGTGACAGCGATTCAGGATGGAGATCGGGTACAAGCTGTCAGCGATCAGTGATCGCAAACTGCTTGTAAATAATTGAGGACAGAATATGCTGACTGTGTCCCCAATTATGAATGAATGGGAAGTGCTCTACATCGCTTCCTGTTAATGTATGATTGGGGACATGGTAAACATATTATCTCTGCAAGTTATGAATGAACAGGAACACTCAATATAGAGGATTCCTGTTCATTATAACAAGGGCTGCAGAGAAAGAGATTGAGGACTCTGTGTCCTCAATCTCTTATTCTATTTTAAAAGGGAAATTTTAGGGGTCTAAACACCCCTATCTGACATTTTTGTTATTTTTTCCGTTTCGGTTTCAAATTTCATTTCAGTGCACCTCTCATTTTAACCCTTCCCTACTCTATCCAAATCTTAAAAAATAGTGTTGTCTTTAGAAATACTTTTACCTGATCTTTAAGTAACCCCTCAAATTCCCTCACCCAAAACTATTTTATTTCTAGAAATGGCAATTCATGTTGTAATTAGTAAGGAATACATTATCAAAGATTTATGCTCTGCTGCTTCATGAGAATTTTGTTTTCCATTTGTTAGTTCAAAAGGATTGGTATAGAATTTTGGTCTTTAGCTCATGTCCTTACCTGGAAGTCTGGAAATTCTAACCAGTTATTTGTAATTATCAAAGAACTCTATGGCTAGTGCAATTTTCTTTCTTTGCACCAATCTTCAAAATGATGTCCAATGGGTGTGGCATATTGGTATTCTCTGCACTGCACACACTAAAGTCTGTATGTAATAATAACTATGTCTTCTTCTTGTATATGAAGATGAGCGTCTACTAACCATCCAGCCCGAGTGGTACCATGATGTGCCTGTTTTCTACCCTGTGGATGTTCCTGTGACAGGGTATCCTCCTGAGGGTGAGATTGTCTCCTTTCTCCTACGCCAGTGCTCTTCTTGGCAGCGCATGGCTGTAGAAGACTGAAAAGCCTTTTCCATACTGTGCTGCTCCCTGATGGGGGTGAACTAATGGCTTTGATATGAACCCATGCTCCTTGAGCCCAAGGCATGCATATTTAATTGCAATGGCAGGAAACTTTCTTTTTTGAGAATGAAATCATTTTACTTTACTTTCTTCCTTTATAAGCACACTTTCTCTTTTCACATTTTCTGGGACAGCTATTTTTTGTATAGGGACAAGGAAATCAATACAAATGGCTTTGACAAACAATAATATATTAGGAGTGCACCAGGCATAGTTCATTTGCCTCTTTAGCTTATTGCAACTAGTAGGTTTTACTATCTAGTAGTGAAAGCTAACAAGCGATAACATCAATAACTTTGCAAATTTGCCTGCTCATACTTGGCATATTCACTATTTAGTTTGGAATAATATTTAAAATAAAATTCAAAGAGTCACAATTGAGTCAGTGTTGTCTATAGCTATATTCCAAAATATGATCAAAAGTTTGTGGACACTTGACCATCACACCTATGAGTTTGTTGGACATCCCATTCCAAAAACAATTTGCAGTAGACTGAAGATGGACCTTCTTTGCAGCTATAACAACCTATACTCTTTTGGGTAGGCCTTCCACAAGAATATAATGTGTGTCTGTGAGAATTTTTGCCCAATAATCTAAAAGAGTAAATGTGATGTCAGCTGTTGATGTTCGATGAGTTGGCTAAGATGAATTGGCTTGCAATTGCCATTCCAATTCACCCCACAGGTGTTAAGCTGGGTCTAACTAAGGTTTCTGTGCAGGCAACTCAAGTTCCCTCACCATAAACTCTTTGAACTATGTTGTTTTAGTCCTGCCTTTATGCACAGGGGCACAGTCATGCTGGTAAAGGATATGGGATTCCACAAACTGTTGCCACAAGGTTTGACATGTAGGGTTTTCTAAAATGATATTGTATGCTGTAGCATTAACATTTCTCCTGACTAGAAACACAACCATTTGTAGGGGTGTCCACATACTTTTGGCCATATAATGTATATAGTTTTCAAAAGGGAGGTTTTAATAACATTCACCACATGCCAAAACAGTCTGTAGATACAGGAATTTAGATAGTTGAATTTGTATTTAAAGCTTGACTTTACCTATAAAAGTGGAGCTTGGCCCGTCCCTTCCTACCTCCAAAGACTACCTATAGGCCATATATTGTAATGGGTGACCTCATTAACCAAGTGGGGGAGGGCTGAAGGGCAGGAGGGGGTTGGACCAAATGCTACCTTTGCAAGAAAAGATGAGATTTGCAAATTACTTCTGATGTATTTATATCTGGATCTTACTATTTTGACAAGTGATTTGAACTGAATATAACCTCCACTTTTTAAACATATGCTTAATTTAAATGTTAAGGTTTGTGACTTAACTAAGGTACGCTGCCCAGTTGTGGAAATGTTCCCAGCAATACCATTTTTCATTAGGATAAAAAGCAGCACACCTTAATTAAGAAGATTTCAATACCTCTACATTGCATGCAAGGTCAAACCTAGAATTCACTGCTTCTCCTAGAAAATGTAGGATACCTAGCTGTTGTCCCTTCATGTTCTCTCCTGCTGCTCCTCATTATGAACAATGTTCCTATCGTATGTGCCTATGCTTTGTATCAACCTTCACTTAAATCACCCTGCTCAGACCTTCAGGCCGCACTTTGACTTTTGTAAGCAATACCTTTCTTAGCACTGATTTCTGTGTGCGCCTAATGAACAGCATGTTAACCTGTCCAAATGAGAAATGCAAAATATTTCAACACAAGTGAATTTTCTTAATCATTAGTTCTGGGTGGATCTATGTGTTAGTGAATTAGAGTGTTTGTTACATGTTAGGATTTCTGCTACCTGGCTTATATACACACTCTCTTGGGAAATCTAAAAGACAAGCCTTTGCAGGGTCACAAAAGTTCACTGGAACATCTACACTATTGGATCCAGTCTACAATTATTATTATTATGGAAATTTTGTATTTCATATTATTTTCTCTAAACAGATCTTACTGTTACATAGATCAAGTAATAATTTGCATTATTATTAGGGGGGAAAAACAAAGAGTTATCATTTTAATGGCAGTTTTTTGTTCAAAGTGATTTTAACTTCACAATAAACACACAATTGTTTAGCTGTGCAACTTCCAGTAGGTAAAATGCCCATTCTGACAACTTATTGTGTTCTTTAGTTGTCCACAATTGCTGTTATTTTAATGGGATCCTTACCGGTTTTACACATACTTACAAATACACAAAAATAAATATTGTGAAGTGTATACTGCCTGGTAAATATCAGGCAGTAAGATAGATGTGTAGGAACTAGTGTGTAGCATAGAAATGTGAAGGCAGGCAGGAAATCTGTATTAGTGATATTTACAGAAACCCTTCCTGCTAAAGCGATGTGACTCAGTGCTGATATATTTGTGGCAAAATAGACACTTTCAGGAGTGTCAGATAGGGGTTGATTTACTACAGACAAATATTCTGTTCACTTTGCAAGGGAATTTGCACATTGCAGGTGAAGTTTTCCCATTAGTTTAGAGAATGAGGTGAAGTTCTGCTGACTTCCAGCATCCAATCATGTGTAAGCAGAAATACTGTTTTGTATTTATTTTCCTTCAATCTCATGATTGGGTATTCTTTGCTAAGTAAAATTTCACCACATTCACCAAGCAAATAAAAACTTCCCCTGCAAAGTTTAAATTCCCTTGAAAATCATCCCCAGAGAGCCACCAGCAGCGTGTACTTACCCCAATCCTGACATCACAGTGTTTCAACAGTATGAAGAAAACTCTCATAAGATTGGCTTACAGTGTATTTTAGTGCCAATGTTTTAAAAGTTTCCTATATGCTTTTAGATTGCTGTAGGAGTCAGCTGGGGAAGTGGGTGGAGGTAAGGACGCTGCATGGGTCCCAGAAGGCTTTGTATCTGACACAACCGTGAGTGTCAATTTTGCAGAAGTATTGCCACGAACATATGTATGCTGACTCACATCACTGTAGCAGGCCAGGTTTTTGTAGGTGCTCCTAAAATATATCTTCTGACTGGCTTTAGTTTGCAGAGTAGTAGATGGTGACAAGGCCGCTATAATATAATGACCTACCTATAATGAAGGTCTTACAAATCAAGATTGGAGAGTATCTCCTCCTCTTTTCACTGTGAGGATCACGATTAGTAATTTAATTAATTGTAATGCCATTGTAGATACTGTCAGCTGTGGGTCAAAATAAAGTTCCAGGTACAATAAAAAATTAAATTTTCTGGATAACAAAACCTTCTAATGTGACTCTGTACCATCTTTCTCTGGGTAGATATGCAGACAGAACATTAGCTATGTGACAGCTGTATTGCTCCCAATAATTTTAAGAAAATATTGAGTTTTCTTTTATTTATGGATTTATTTGTTTGAGGTGCGTGTTATTGGGATCACCTAAATGTATATATTTCATCAATGTGTGTTAAAAAAAACCCAGTTTGCACATCTAGAAGTACACGGGTACTGACATATTTTGCTTCTTGCAAATGCAGGAGGCGCTTCACCTTAGTGTACTGATTGTGCTTTCTTTCTCCTTGCATAGTAAGACCAAAGTCACCTCAGTCTCTCCTTCTCAGTTTACAAGTCTGCACTGGCTGACCTAGTTAGGCACTTTAAAATGTGTCAATGTCAAGAACATGTGATGTGTGTTTTGTAAATGCTGTAGATGATTCACTGCTGGATATTTTGCATTGCTTTTTTAAATATGTTTCCTAGTTACATAGTAATTGTATAGAGAAATGTACATACCTTTGTTTTACAAATAAACATTTAAAATAAAACTAAAGGCTCATGTTTGTCAGTCTAAGGCCTCATTCACACTGCCGCGCATATGCGCACACGCACGTATTGTTCCATATGCAGCATATGCAAATAAATGGCTCCATACACATAGCTGTGTATGGAGCCATATATTTGCGTAGCGTAAAAATGCGCAAAAACAGAATGGACCCGAGATCCGTATTTCTGCGTATTTTACGCGCATATACGTGTGTACAGTTCATTGAAATTTCTATTACGAATAATGCATTCTGGGGTTGCCTATAGTGCACGCATATACGCGCGCGCATGTACGCGTATGTTCGCAATATACAATTTTGTTGTGTGTGAATGAGGCCTAAAGTATCAAACCCAGTTACTATGTGATGCACAATCCTAATAAATATAAAACTTCCTTTTACCATCGTTGATTTAGCCTAAAATGTAAATTTTGTATTTGCTATATTTTAAATAAAATCCAAAAATAAAATAAAATCCAAATTACTTAAATGGTGGTTGTTCTAAAAATTCAATATCATTAAATGTCTTTACAGCTTTGGTTATATTAAACGTGAAATTTGTGTACGCTAAAAGTTATTTAAGGGACATGAACATGATATGTATAGTTTTCTGTAGGTTTTTCATCCCTAAATTGCTGGAATTCATTGTAAACACATTGCCCTGAACCATTAAACAAAACCTAATGAATACCTAGGAAATCTGAATACTCATTTGTTTTTCATCTCACTGCTACATAGATCTAAATGAATGTGGACTGAAGCCTCGACCCTGCAAATACCGTTGCATGAATACGTTTGGAAGCTACAAGTGCTATTGTCTAAATGGATATATGCTCATGCCTGATGGATCATGTTCAAGTATGTCCACTCAGTCCAACATTACTGCATTATTATTCTCTTATTACTGGCTTCTTATGAAAACATATGACTGCCTGGACAGGCCTAAGCATTTCTTGTTCTTATTTTTCAAGTTTAACAAGTCTGTTCTAAATTGTGTACTGCTCTATTAAAGTGGACCTTTACCCTCTTTGACTAAAAATCACATCAGCATACAGCTCTGCATGCTGATATTAAATCCTCTTACATTCATTAGCTAAACAAACATATTTTTTAAAATGTCATTTTTTCCACTTCCTTGTCCTCTTTGGCACAAATATTGTAATGTGCCCAAGTGTTGCATCCTGGGAAGGTTACATCAGCAGTGCATGGCTGAGAAATCTCATCTGTAATGTCACGAGATCTCAGGGAAAGGCATTTTCCTCCCCTAAGAGGATGTGCATGGTCACATGTGCCAGAGTTCCAGGAAGTAAAAAGAAACAAATTAATCTGCCCTTAGTAAAAATGGCCACTGTCAGAAGACTGGGGAAGAAAAGAAATATAAGGTATGCAAAGAATAAAAAGCCAGCAATTATTTAGAAATATCTGTTTGTAGATTGTAATTACTAAATATTTCTAAAGGTGCTTTTGTTGTTATTTTGAAGATATGGGTAAAGTTTCTCTTTAAGATACCTTCACTTATGCTAATAGTGTTGGATGATTAATAGGTTAAGTCAAGAAAAAGATGTATACAATGACATGCAAGTAACATATAGCACTGTAGATATATAGATGTCTCAAAGCAAGGGTGTTGGGCCAGCTAAGTGACTGAGAACTCAATGCTGTAAATTACAGGGCACAGATGTATCCTTCATTATGGACACAGGTGGCAGTAGTATGTACATGTCTCTCATCATTGAATGTATCTTGGAATTGCATGTAAAAAGAATTGATCCACACAATGCTCTCAATAGGCATAAACGAACATCAGACCCTCCAGCACGACTAACTCAGTAAGGTACAAAACACTCCTGAACTGCTCTTAAACACTTTAGCTCTCACGCCTGTATACGGCTTATGGACCAGAGCAATTTTTACCTTTCTGCTATGGGCCTATTGATTCAGCAATAACAAAGTCATTCACATATTGTTTTTTTAGGACAAACAATGTTTTCTTTTTGTGCTACTCCTTCAAAAATTTTAAAATAATTATTTTTAAAGTAAAAAAACTAAAAAGAAAACACTTTTTTGAACAGTAATACTTAAAAAAAAAGTGTTAGATAAAAATAAAATAGATAAAAAGTATAAATTCTATTTTATCATTTGCCCTTTTTAAAATGACTTTAAAATGATGATTCTGGTAGAAAGCATTGCAAAGTTATTTACAAATCAAATAAAGGCTTTTTTATTCAATGTTGTGCTTCTTTTAATGCAACACTAATAAAAAAAGATTGACAGGGCTATTCACAAAAGGGTGAATAGTTTGGGGAAGGCAGGAGAAGTGAACAATCTAGGACAACACAGCTGAACTGGAAAGTGAGCTGAATTGGAGAATGTTTCCAAATCAGCTATGTTGTCCTAGATTGTTCTCTTCTCCTGCCTTCTCCAAACTCTTCACCCTTTTGTGAATAGCCTCTAAGTATTAATGGTTAGGAAAACAGAAATTAATAAAGCAGGAAAATAATAGTTAAGGGGAGAAGAGGAAGAAGGAGTTAATTAGGGCTCATTAGGGTAAACTGAGGGTTAATAAAGGGTTAAATAGCAATACATTATTTAAAAAAACAACTTTTTTTACATGTCAGGTTACTTTAACAGACATCATATGTAAATCAAAGCTCACCCCTTTGATCTGCAGATAAATGAAACAGAGCAGATACAAAGGTAACTTTTTATCTCCCTATCGTTTGAGCAGTGTCTATAAACACTGTGTCAGACGGTCTGTTTTTAGACAGCAGCAGCCCCTATAGCTGCTGAAATTACACAGCTACTCTTGGCTATCATTTTCATAGTTGGGAATTGCTGCCAAGTGCATGGGGGTGAGTGGCAGCCATGCAGAAGGATAGGGCATACTAGATATCCTGTGTACTTCAATGTAGTTTTTTTGGGGTCGTGTAGTACGCATAGTGTCCACAAATTGTTACAGATCTTTTTGCAAAGTTTAGAAAGTTTTCAGCTTGGTAAAGAGAAGGCCATGAGTAAAATAGTATTTACCTTATGCAGTAGGTCATGTTGTAGGGCCTGCAACAGGTGTACAGATGACCTAACATACTGGTAGAGGAAAGTGTGCGATAACGGGCCCCTAGAAAAGGTGACTTCAGCATGGTGAAGTTGCTACCAGTAAAGCAGCCAGTTCTCAGACACTTTTAATACATGATGCCAGGAATGTTGTAGCTATGGCCAATAGGCTTAAAGTAAACTTAGCATGGCATTTTCAATAGTGCGGACATAAAGTATAAAAGGAATTATAAACAACATTGATTGTACAGCATAGTAAGAGTTTAGTATGCTGTCATGTAGTATATATGCCAGGCCCGAGCTCTTGTTTTATCCAGGAATGAAAAACAGATAACTGGCCAGAATTCTTTAGGTTGATTCAAGAGCACATTGTGCATTATTTTGATTAGACGCCCAGTAATGTTCTTTATTGCCAGGATAACTTGAAAAGTGCCCATTTCTGACTATGTGTACTACTAGCACCTTGAAAAAGGGTTGATCATGATATATTACACACAGGCGCCTCCAGCCATCAGATGCCGGTTTGCATCCAGTCCTTTTATACTGTACTCCGTATTTCAGCCATGACCCACTAAGATCTAGGAGTTAGATTTACTCAATTAATGATGTCTATGGCAAAAATTAACATAAAAAGTAAACTTGTTTTTCTTTACTTCAGATGCTCACACTTGCTCTTTGGCAAATTGCCAGTATGGTTGTGATATAGTAAAAGGAGAGGTTCGCTGTCGCTGTCCATCTCCAGGGTTGCAGCTAGGACCAGATGGGAGAACATGTGCGGGTAAGTGATGTACAAAAATATAAAATATATAGGAATGAGAAAGAAAAGCACACATCATAACTTAGCAAACTAAATAACTAAATGGTTGGATCCTTACTGTTGCTGGTATCTATGATATAGTGGGTTATTCACAAAGCTAGCTGAAGGATCAGCCGTAGCTTTGGCTGATCCTTTGGCTAGCTTCAGTTGCAGGAGCAGGGCTGCTGTATGGCCTATTCACTATAGGCCGTACAGCTCCTAAAGGCGGCCGAGCGGCTCAGCCGAGCCGAAGCCATATGCTTCGGGTCGACTGAGCCGAAGTGACAGCTGAAGCGCCGGCCGAACGCCTCGCAAATGACAGCTGGGCAGAGCCAGTCATGATCTCATGGCTGGCTCCGCCCAGTTGTTATTCATTGACCAGTACCGGCTAGAAGACATTAGCCAGTCCCGGCCAATAGGAAACAGTTGGGCTAACAGTTGTCACTGCTAGTTCCGCCCAATAGTTTTTTTTTTTTTTAATCTTTCATTATTTTTTTTAATGTATTATTTATTTACATTTTTAAACATTTTTTTCCCCTACTTTTCATTGATTTCCTAATCCTGCCGCCTTCACCTTCGTAACATCTCAAAAATATGCCCCTTCCTCAGCAATGACACCGCAAAACTACTCATACACTCCCTTGTTATCTCTCGTCTTGACTATTGCAACTCCCTCCTCATTGGCCTTCCACTACACAGGATATTCCCCCTTCAGTCTATCATGAATGCAGCTGCCAGACTCATTCACCTTACCAACCGCTCAGTGTCTGCATCCCCCCTCTGCCAATCCCTACACTGGCTTCCACTCGCCCAGAGGATAAAATTCAAAATATTAACAGTCACCTATAAAGCCATCCACAACTCCGCCCCCGGATATATCTCAGACCTTGTCTCTAAGTATCACCCTAACCGTCCCCTCCGCTCATCCATTGACCTCCTGCTTTCCAGCTCCCTTGTCCACTCCTCCCATACTCGCCTCCAGGACTTCTCTAGAGTCTCTCCCATCCTCTGGAACTCTTTACCCCAACCTGTCCGTCTATCTCCCACCTTGACTGCCTTTATGCGTTCCCTAAAGACTCATCTCTTCAAGGAAGCCTATCCCACCTCGACCTAACCACTGAACCTTCACATTCTCAAATAATTCATTCCCACACAGCTACCTCCTCATGTATCATTTCCCCCTCCTCTTTCAGATTGTAAGCCCTCAGGGGCAGGGCCCTCCTTACCATCTTGTCTTGAATTGTATTGTAACTGTAATGTCTTCCTTATATTGTAAAGCGCTGCGCAAACTGTTGGCGCTATATAAATACTATGTAATAATAATAATCTGCTCGGTACCACGGAGGTACTGAGCAGAATAGCCGAACCAAGGCATTCGGCTATTCACTCACTGCCATTCAGCCCCTATGTGAATAGGGGCGAACAGCAGCGAGTGACCTGCCGGAGCTTCAGCTCAGCAGAGCCAGTTGTCGGATTGGGTGAGTCGAACTCCTTCTGCACTTCGGTTCAGCCAAACAGTACAGCCGAAGCCAGCCGCTCACTCGACTGCCTTTGGCAGCTTTGTGAATAACCCTCATAGTGTTCAATGGGCAGATCATTTATCAATAACAGATAATGATCAGGACAAACGTTAAATACCTCCATTGCTCTTAATGTATTTGTTATGTTCAAACATTATTGAAGCATACTTCACTAGTTCATTCAAGTAATAATTCCATACAATTGTACTAAAGTGAGTCATTTTCAAAACTGCTGCAATTTTTCTGACCCATACACTAATCAGCTACAAAATGCGATGATTAAATCCCTGCACTTGGTCAAAACACTTAATGTGTTTTTTCCCCTCTTTCTGTGATCTTAGAGAAGTCTTTAGTTTCTAACACAGGGTGATATGTACCTCTTGTGTATCTTGGCTGGCTGAGATGGAAAAGACATCAGTATCTATATGAACATGAAAAGAAATGTTTCATACCTATGTGCATGTAATCAGTTTACATATATGCTCCATACTAAACATTCATGTCCCTTTACTAGATGTTGATGAGTGTGCAACAGGAAAAGCGGTTTGTCCTCGGTTTAGAAAATGTGTCAATACGTTTGGCAGCTATATCTGCAAATGTTATCCTGGATATGACTTAATCCATGCCCACGGAAAGTACCAGTGCTTCGGTAAGTACAATGCATATTAAGAACTAGTATTGGTTCATTTAGGTTTTTTATATTGTTTATTAATGTTACTGTGTTAAGGGACTGGAGCATTCAGGGTTGGAATATGTGTTTGTCTGTACTGACACTGCTAACATTCTTCCATCTGTTATACAATACCAACTTTATCTCAAATATCATAGCTTCTGATAAGCCTGTGAAGCTTTTGAATATTTAACAGTGAATGTTAAAGCAAAACTCCAGGTAAAAAATGTATTAATACTTGCAGTGCGGCTACCCACACATTGCAAGAGTTAGTGGTTATTTTTGCCTAGGGTAAAAAATAACAAAGTTATACTCCACCGATCCTCGGAGCCGGCAGTGCTCCCTCCTCCTCCACTACAGTGATAGTATGTCCCTCGGCATCCTCACGTCCTATACACTGTGTATTGAACATAATAACTCAGGGACCTTAGACCACTGCAGCACAGGGGTAGGGAGGGTCCAAGGACCAGTGGCTCGGAGGATCAGGTGAGTATAACTTTGTTATTTTTGACCCTAGACAAAAACTGCCACTTAACCCTTGCAGTGTGGAGATGGCCCCACTGCAAGGGTTAAACAAATGTCAACCCATAGTTCTTCTTTAATAAATGTAATGTTTGCTTTCTTGCTTTCTTGCATTGTCATTATATACAGTTAAAAAAATGATGCAGTCCTATAGATGATTTTCATGTGGAGTTTATTTAAATTGCGTTTTACTTTATTTTGGCAGATATTGATGAATGTTACACTGGGCAGTATCAGTGCAGTAACTTTGCAAGATGCTTCAACACACCGGGATCATACAGGTGTAAATGTAATGATGGCTACCGTGGCAATGGAGCAGACTGTACACGTAGGTGTCATGTGTGCTAAATGTACTGTATACAAACAAACGTTTGGCCTTAGAATGTTAAAACTCAGTTGAACTCCTAAAGCTGAACAGCTAAATATACAGATGAAAAAAACATATATCAGAGCTGTTTTAATTCAAAAGCATTTGTTTTTCTGTCCATTCAGTCCTGAGATTTACAAATCTCTGTCACACAGCACAGTCCTGTCTGGCAGGATAGGGGACCTGATTTTTCCGTGCTGCATTTAAGTAACACTTACCAGTTTTGTCCCTCCCTCAACCTGTGACAGGACAGCTCATCTCTCTGTCACTCTGCTGTCTCCTCCTATCAGCACTATCAGCATGTCACTTATTAGCACATGAGCTATGCAGCACACCTGGTTGGCTCCTTGTGTTGCTTTTTCCTCTCCCAATTTGAGCACTGCTCTACAAGAATTGCAAGTGGCTGATTCTAGTCACTTTTGGGTACTTTACTTCCTCATTTAAAGAAAGTATACATTTAGTCACATATTAATGATTACAGAACTACATTAATGTGTGTTCTTTAAAACTGCCTAGAGTTCAGCTATACAGTTTATTATTCTAATGCTGTCAGGATGGCTGACATGTAATATGTGTAGTGCTTTTTCTTTTTTTTTCATGATGTAATATTGTTGCATCCCTATATCAAGCAGCCCTTTGGTGTTAGCACCCTGGAGATTGGGACTGCTGCTCTTACACAGAACACAGCGGTTCCCATCTCCAGCACTGAAAGGTGCCCCCTGCACAGTGCTTCAATCAGCAGTACTCAGCAGTACTCAAGGATGAGCAGTACTCACCCTTGAGCAGTGTTGTTGAATAAAGCACAGTGCAGGGGGCATGTCAGACCACTGGGGATCGGGACTACTGCATTCTATGTAAGAGCTGCAGACCCAATCTCCAGTGTGTTGCCTAAACAGGGCAGCTTAATATAGGGCTGCATCAATCACATATTATAAAAAATGAATAGGAAACATACTGTATGTTACATTTTAGCCAGCCCTAGCACATTAAAGTAATGAAACTTAAAGAAGAACTCCAGGAAAACGTTTTCTTAACCCTTGAAGTGGGGCTACCCCCCAAACTGCAAGGGTTAAATGCTTGTTTTTGTCTAGGGAGCTAAAATAACAAAGTTATACTCACCCAAAGCTCTGAGACGGTCAGCTTTCACAGCACTTCTTCCAGTCTCCTCCTCCTCCGCTGCAGCACTGGAATGTTTTTCACAGGGCTATTCACAAAAGGGTGAAGAGTGTGGGGTAGGCAGGAGAAATGAACAATCTAGAACAACATAGCTGAACTGGAAAGTGAGTTTAACTAGAGAATTTTTCCAAATCAGCTATGTTGGCCTAGATTGTTTACTCGGGTGAGTATCACTTTTTTTCCTTTTTTGAACCTGGACAAAAACGAGCATTTAACTCTTGCTGTGCGGGGGTTGCCCCACTGCATACAGTTGTTTCCCGGAGTTCTTCTTTAAGGGTTTACTTGTTTTTAATTGAAAAAGCACACCACCAAAAATGTATACATTTTGCTGTATTGATACATAACATAATACAGCATAAACAACTTCAAAGTGTTATGACAATATGGGGATTTTAAAGCAGTGTTCCTGAATTTTCATTGCATACATAAATACAATAAAGTTAAACTTCAGAAGAAATAGGCAGCTTTCAAAATCAGAAGTAAAAATAAAGTGCTATTTTAGGTTAGGTGCTGCAGTGCCATTCACAATAAGAAAAAAATAAAAATAAAGGAAAAATTAATGCTGCATGTAATCATCAAAAGAACTACATATACAGTACAGTATATAACTATATATACTCTACCTGGTAAAGACAATCAAGCTGGCATACAGGCCAGGTGATGCAGAATGGACATCAGCAAGGTGTAAAGCCCATTGTCTATTACTATTTGTGGTGAATTGGATGCATTCACTGTGATTTAACAACCTGATTTGCTACTTGCATGAACCTTAGACATGTGGGTCTAAAAATCCATTTTAAGTAGTGGTTTTTAGCAGTCTCCTTTTGAAGAGCAAAAGTATAATTTACATTGCTTAATTTTGAAAATATCTTTTCAATTACAGCTATCCCCAGAGTTGTGATTGATCCGCTGGGGCCTCATAATTTTCTACCAGGTAAAGATAATGTCAGAAACATTGTTAGAGGAAATGGCAGCACACTAAGTGGTAGTGAAGGAAGCAGTAACAGGATTCCAGACTATGGTGGCAGACATCCTAAGTGGCCTCCTTCACCCTCTATTACAGCCAAGCCTCAACCAAAGACAACTACAACCAGATCGCCACCAGTGACTCGGCCAGTGCCTAACCCAATTACAAGGCAGCCTCAAAAGCCAGCAACAAGGCCTCCACAGCCAGCAACTAGGCCCCCACAGCCTGCGACAAGACCTTCTCAGCCAGTGACAAGACCTCCTCAGCCAGCAACAAGACCTCCACAGCCAGCAACAAGACCTCCACAGCCAGCAACAAGGCCACCCCAGATTTTGACAAGACCACCTCAACCAGTCACTAGACCACCACAGCCAGTAACGAGACCACCACCCAAACCAACAACCACTACAGTCATATATACAACAGCGCCTACACAGCCCCCCACTAGACCCCCAGAGGATAACAAAATCCAGGACCAAGGCAAACAACGGGGCGATGTGTTCAGTAAGTATTCTTAGTGATACATTGTAAGCGGCTTAATGTACTGAAACATTTATTAGTACTAATAACAACACATGATAACATCCATACTTCACATGTGAAGTGTTAGAGATATTGTTTCATTTCAAATATATCTTTCAAGAGATGGGATACAGCAGATGTTTAGCGAGTGGGTTGTTTTTTAAATAACCCATTAATAGACATTTCTCTGGTGGATTGCCAGTTTCCTTTGGTACATACTGGGCATGCCATTCTCATTCAGCCTTGAGCTAGTTTGATTCACTAGCTAGCTATTCTACTCATTTTACTAATTAACAGTGCTGGCAGCAGTAGAGTCCTTTGAAAAGCATAACATTGAGGAGTAAAATTGATGTGGATGATAAACAGCAGTTAATTAATATTACATTCCAGGTAAACCTAAAACATGAACTTCTGTATATATTGGGCCAACTGTGTGTTATTTTAAAGGGGTAATACACTCAGACTAAATCACCTACTGAGTCATTGCATCTCCCAGAGCTTCTGGTGGCAGGATCACCCAGTCCCCAGGTTTGACCACTGGCTTGGGGCATTACAAAGGGTCCTCCTGTTGCAGCAGCAAGAATAAGATTCCATGGGAAGAAGCATAGCCAGAAACCCGAGCACTGAGTATCGTTTTAGTAAAGTCCTACAAAGAAGCCAGTGCTTGGCTCAGCTTGCCAACACCCATCCATAACTGAAATTTAAAGCAAAAGTCTATTATTTTTCATGTTTTAAGGTTTGGGTAGGCTGGCTTTTTTTTTAGGGCTTTCTGAATGCTTGTTTAAACTTTGGTAAAGTAATACTAAGTTAGTTTCTGGATATTCTTTGAGCTGTGTAGAAATTTTATATTATAGTACAGATTCACTTATTTTTTCATTAATTGTTCTAATGATTGTTCTAATTTAAAATAAATCAATATGTCTTAATTTCTGGAAGTAGTTTTGGGGAAAAATACCAAAAAGCAGTGATTTGTTAGCAGGTGGGTACTGGAGAACAGTAGTGAAGCAGAAAAGTAATTTGGAATCTGTCTATATTTGAATGTTTTCATGTCTGTGTGTATGTATTTGTTCTCAAAAACATATTTTCCTTTTAGTAGCACAGGTAATATCAGTGTGGTCCCCCTGTATAATATACTTCAAGCATATAAAGTGTGAATGGATTGAGGTAGATAATTCCAGGCCAGGTTACAGTCTGGTTATTACGTAGCCAATAAAATTAGCAACCAGAGAGAAATTATTTTATGACATTATAACATTTCCTATATATATATATATATATATATATAGAGAGAGTGAGAGAGAGAGAGAGAGAGAGAGATGGAGAGAGCTTGAAAAATCCGCTTGTCCTCTCGTCTGTGACAAGAGGACGCCGGAGCCGGATGAGTAGCTTCCCGCCCGGCTGTTAAAATTAAACGGCCGTCCGGGAGCTTTACATTCAAGCGATCGGGCGTCTCTAGAGACGCCCGATCGCTTGTATTAGCAGCAGCTGTCACTGCCGATGCCGGTCCCGAGATCCGCTGTTCCTGGTGTGTGAGGACCAGTCATGTAAATTGGCTATCACATGGGGGGATTCTTAGCCCCCCATGTCGTAGCAATAAAGTCAAGTGTAAAAAAGAAAAAAAATTAAAGAAGCATAACAATTTTTAAAAAACACACTATTTTTTAAAAGGCCCCTGCCCCCCACATACACACGCAAACATGCGTCAGGTGCAACTACGTGCAAAAATGACTATTGCGCCACACGTGTTGCATATCACCGTGAATGTCGGAGTGAGAGTAATAATTTTAGGGTCAGTAATCACTGATAACACTATACTGATGAGCAGTTAAAGCGTTTAAAGCGTCGCCCATGGGCAATTTTCGGTGTGGTAGTTTGCGATTTTTGCGGGTGTGCGCAATTTTAAGGCTTGGCATGTTTGGTGTTTATTTACCCAACATGACCCTGTCTTTTATATTTTACCAAAAATATGGGTAAGAATAAATGTTTTTTAACATAACGTAGGACATTTTTTTTTGCATTATATAGTAAAAAAATAACCCCCACAGTGGTGATTATATACCTCCAAATGAAAGCTCTATGTGTCTCTAAAAAATGTTAACATAAATTGCAAGGCTATAGTCCGGTTATGCTGACTGGTGACATTTTTGACTCACTGGTGAGACACCCTAAAATTTTTCAAGCCCTGGAGATGGATGTGTAATATCCGAAGTGCTGAATTTATGCTGAATGTTTCTATTGTTTATTACAGTCTGCTAGAACATTCTGACTTGACACACCTGGAAATGGTCTTGTTAAGGAATGCAAAACAAACTAGAATGATGTTCTAGTGTAATGTTTCTCAGGCTCCAGGCAGAATGGTGTTGATGTGGGTCTCAGCTATTGTCCATAGTGGTTTAAAGTAAACAGGCAGTTGATGAAACTGATTAATGGGAATTCTGGAGGTATTACAGGTACACGAACTTCAAATGGTTTCCTGTGTTTTAATGTATGCAGAGCAACAGCTAATAATCCATCTGTCTAGTTAAATGTGGGGTTTGTGACTGACAGTTATTGGCCAGGCTTGCAATGACATTATTCCCCACCTTGCACCTAGCTATGTCACTTATATAGTGCATCTCATACTGTTGTGCCTATAGTCTCTAATAGGAGGTTGGCACCTACATAGACTAAACATATCTGGCAAATTTTCCCATCTTCTTGTATAAGTGCTTCTGGACCTATTCTGGATTAATTTTTTGTTTATTTTTAAAGTGACACTAAACTATAGAGTTAAATCTTAAAAAATGCATTCAAGTAACTGTACCTTATTTGTGTATCCCTCAGCTGTAAATCCTCAAATCATCTCTGAATTGGTGCCGACACTGTCCTTCCTTCTGGGTGGTGGCTACTTTTCTTCCCCATGGTCCCTGTGTGTGTTGTAAAGTAGCCACCACTCCAAGCTTATTCCCGTGATAGCCTACACGTTCAATACAAGTTAGTAAACTAAACATGAGATTGTAGTCCAGTTTAGGAGCGGTGGCTACTTTACACATACACATACTACATTACTCAGTCACCGCTAATTGTGCTTGAATTAGTGATATTACTAGTGAAAAAATAACATCTGACCAGCCAAACGCTAAGTAAACATGCAAAGCACTAGAGTCCTAGGAATTTTCATTATACAGCACTCTAGAGGGATGTCCTGATATGAAAAATCCTAAATTTCCTGGCTTTAGAGGAATGGCCTCACTAGCCAATAAAAATGTAGGAAGTGGAAGAGACAGACAAGCTCTTAACATTGCTAGATAGTGGTAAAGTTTGCATTCTAGTGTACATTAGGTTTCAGCTAAGATTTTAATCTTGTTGGCAGTTCAGCAGTTTCTACCAAATGACGGGTGTACTTTAATATAGCTCTGACTTTACCACATTTCAGGAAGGATCAGTAAACTGTGTCGGTTAAATGTATTCTTAATTATCTGAGGATAATCCTCTTTAAATGGGATTTCTTCTAAAAAGATATATTGGACACCTCCAACGGCAATAGAGATAAGTCCCCCTCTCTTCCTGCCTGGGCCATGATATTATCAGATTTCACCTGGAGGACATTCAGCATTAGCTTTTCTTACTTATTTTGAAGTATTACTTTGCAGTTTACTTGCAACAGGAAATATGTCTCTTACTTTGACTCTACTCCACTACAGCGAAAGCTCTGAACTTTGTGTTTACAAGACGAATCCAGCTCTAAAATTAGAATGCGTTAAGAATACATATGAAATCATTTTTGGAAGCAGATTTTGCCCACACATGGTTAGCACTTTGCTGCCCAGGTCTCTCAGCCAGCTTTTCAAGCAGTCATAACAAGACTTGAGAATTTTGTCTGTATTCCACTGAACACATTGTAATCTGTCTGTGTCATGAAAGCTTACATAAAGAACACTCTACGGACACTACTATTTGAAATATAATTCTAATAAGTGATTGTCCTTCATTTCAGCAGTTGGTAAAAGAGGTGTGCAGGATTCATTGTATTGTTTTTTTTTTGTCCTCACATCTTTAAAGAAATAGTAATAATGAACTGGAAACAGAATGTTTAGTCTCCATGGTACCCAAAATGTTTCCTAACCACTCCCAAAGCCTTATTTATTTACGAGAAGCTGCTTAACTTCATAATCCACACTAGCTTCCTAAATATAATCCATGGTTTAAAACCTAAAAAATAGGAACTTTTGCTAGAATAAAAATATATAAATACTAGGGTTGCACAGATACCAAGTACAGTACTCGGTACAAGTACGAGTACATGTACCGATACTTTTGAGCTCCACGACTAGACTAGAGAAAAATTCAAAAATTAGGAGGCAGCTGTCATTTGTAAGGAGCACACGGAGCACCTGGGATTTGTACACCTCTGTTTTAATGTACGATTTTGTTTTTATAAATATTATAAATAAAGGGATGCACAGATACAAGTTTTGTGAGTACGAGTACTGGTACTTGCCGAGTACTTACAAGTACGAGTACTGATACATTTTTGTTTATTGTCATGTGACAGTTTTTCTAAAACAATACAGACTAATGATTTCAGGACAGTGGTGGAGTGCCAGAGCCAGGTCCCAGCTGCAACCGCTGCAACCCTGGTAGTTCTCATGCACTGGTACACGAAAAGTATCTGTGCATCCCTAATAAATACCCTATATTGCCAAAAGTATTGGGACACCTGCCTTTACACACACATGAGCTTTAATGACATCCCAGTCTTAGTCCGTAGGATTCAATGTTGAGTTGGCCCATCCTTTCCAGCTATAACAGCTTCAACTCTTCTGGGAAGACGTCCACAAGGTTTAGGGGTGTGTCTATGGGAATGTTTGACCATTCTTCCAGAAGCGCATTTGTGAGGTCAGGTACTGATGTTGGACGAGAAGACCTGGCTCGCAGTCTCCGCTCTAATTCATCCCAAAGGTCTTCTATCGGGTTGAAGTCAGGACTCTGTGCAGGCAAGT